CAGAACCGTGACAATAACCAGGGTTTAGAAATGAGCGAGTTCCAGAATCTTTCACCTTAATGTAGTAGACCAGATATATGTTTCACTTGTTTGCCTTACCTTGTGATTGTGCATAGTATGGTCCGAACAGTCTGTGGGCATTTTATGTTCTACTCACGAGTCTGTTACTAAAAGATCTTTCTGTACAAAGCGAGCTTAATGCAGTATTCAAATATTTACTATAGGCCCACAGTAGTCAGCAGAAACTCGCTCACCTCATTTCATGACACTGGCAAACTTGAGTGTCAAATTTAAAAAAGTTGATATCAAACATTTGTGCTGGTTTGTGCTGCAAAAAGTTTCGTTTGTGCTGCAAAAAGTTTCGTTTGTGCTGCAAAAAGTTTCGTTTGTGCTGCAAAAAGTTTCGTTTGTGCTGCTCAGATCTGTCCTGCCATTCTAGCAAAACTGAATGCTGGCTTGACAATGAACCAGTTGTACACAGTTCCCTAAATATGCATTCTTCTCTTGTAATAATGAGAAAGCTTAAACTAAAACTACAATAAGCCATCCATTTTCTTCAGTTAGCACTGTATTTATTTAACTTTTTTAATTTTATCCAAGCTAAAGTCCCTGTCTAAGACAGAGCTGATCTAGTCCACTTCCTGTCTGTCCTTTTAAATCCATCCATCGCCTGCTGATTGTTTTTGGTGTTCACAAATACTTTGTAGAAAATATGTCCAAACTCTAATAAAACTTCACTTGTATTCCTCTGTTTTTGCAAGTAAAAAACACCATTCTGGTACTGAACATCACATTTTAAGTTGTAAATACACTGATTCTTATATCGTACTCCCCCAGAGTGCTCAAAGGACTCGATACAACATTCACCTATTCTCACAAGCACTCTAACTACATTCACACTGATGGACGCATCAGAGAGCAACTGGTTAGTTAGCAGGAGTTAACATCTTGCCTATGGATACTTGATATGCAGACTGGAGGAGCTGGGGATCAAACCACCAACCTTCTGATCATTAGGTGACCTGCTCTACTAGCTGAGCTACAGCCACCCCCAGCTGCTGGTAGAAAAGCTCTGCTGTCTGTGGCTTTATGACTAAAAATCAACCGGACGTGATTCATTGTGTTAAAAGGGCAAGTAGCATGTAAAGTCATATCTATTGTCACAGCAGCTTTAACAAACACGTAAAGAAAAGTGCCAGAAGACATTTTTGAGCCTTAGTACCACACAGCACATTCATAGGGTATATAGGGTCCGTCTCTTCAGAAATACCAGCCAAAAAGCGGTTCTGTGATTTTTTTATGTTATTGCTCATCTTGATAAATAGAATGTACTGAAATTATTTTTACGAGGGGTTTGTACATAACATGAAGAAAGGATGCAGGTATAATGCACTAATACAGGTACAGCTGCTCTGTGCCACGGTAACTGTATTACACTGTTCCGAAAAATAGTAATGTCAAATTATTTTACTGTGTAGTTTACAGTTGTGTACTGTTTTTCTAGAATATCATTACATTTACATAAGTAGACTGTGATCTG